GGAGGCACACGGGCCCCGCCTGCTGCGTGTCGTAGATCGCGACCGTGTCCATCGTGACGACCGCATACAGCATGCGGTACGGCAGCGCGAAGATGGAGCCCGTCGTCGGCGTCGGCGTCGGCGTCAGCGCCCCCGCGTGCGCGGGCGTCGGCGGCTTCGACGCAGCGGGCGTCGGCGGGCGGCGGTCGACGGGCGACAGCGCGGGCGAGGCGAGCACGTCGAACGACGACGCGTGCTGCGGCGCCGGCGCGGCGATCTGTCCATGGACACTGGGCACCGCGGGCGGCGGCGCGGGGAGCGGCCCGACGAGGTCAACCTCCATACGCTCCTCCGCGTCCCGCGCGCGCTCGCGCTCCTCCCCCGTCGCCGTCCCCACCCCCATCTTCGGCTCCGCGCCGGCGCCCGCTCCCGCGACGCCCGGCCGCAGCTCGAACAGCACGGGCCCAAAGCGCACCGCGACGCTCGCCTTCTTGTGCCCGGGCAGCTGCGCGACGGGCGGCCGCGCAAAATTCGCGCGCGAGTAGATATACACGGACGACGCCTCGCCCGTCGGCCCCGCCGCCGCCGCTGTCGTGCCCATCCCAAGGCCCGCCCCCGTCGAGATCACCGGCCGCGCCTTCCGCCCGCGCGCCGCCAGCTCCTCCCCCTCCGGCGCCGCGCTCCTTAAATCCCACCCCGACGCCCCGTCCCACCCGCCCTCCCACCCGCCTCCGACCCCTACACTCGGGTCCTCAAACGTCCCCGCGGGCGTCAGCAGCAGCGCGCCGTCCGGGCTGAACGCGAGCCTTCTGAAAAAGTTGCTGAAGCTCTCGTCGCCGTACAGCCGCGCGCCGTCCGTCTGCGCCGCGCGCGGCCGCTCGGCAAAGTCGTGGTGCCGCCGCTCGCCGTACTCGTGCGCGGGCGCGCCCCAGCCCGCGCCGGGCGGCGTGCGGATCGCGGGCAGCGCGGGCATGGGCGAGGGGCTGCGCCCGTAGGCGCTGCGCGAGAAGCCGGAGCCCGAGACGGCGGAGAAGCCTGCGTGGGAGGGGAGTTAGTAAGGTGAAGTTGACAATAGATGTGAGGATTAGAATACAAGGGACGGAGTGGACGAAATTAAGGAAGTAGACATGTGCGACAGGAAAAATCCAAGATGGAAGCCAAAAGGGTGGGGATGCAATCAACGAGCCCCTCCGCGTCCGCATGAGCACCACCTCGTCCCCGGAAGAATCGCCGAAATGAGAAGAATGAAAACACGGGCACGGGTGCCGCCCCAACAACCGAGCGACACCAGAAACGTTCGAAACCCGCAAACGAACGCCAAAAAGAGGTGGGGTAGATAAAACGGGAAAAAAGGAAAGAGGCAGCAACGAGCAGAGCAAGAAATAAAAGCAGAAGAGAACCCACCACTCGGCGAACTCGGCGCATTGCTCCCGCTAAACGACGACCGTCGACTCGACGGCCCCGCCTGCGCCGGCGGCGGGAACATCGCGCTGCTGCTGCTCGTCGTCACAGGCGTCCCGCTTCCCGTCCCTGGCCCGCTCGTGTTCGTGTTCGTGTTTATATTGTTCGTGTTTGTGTTGACATTCAGATTCAGACTCGCGCCCCCGCTCCCCCCACCCCCGCCCCCGCCCACAGACGACGCCGGCGTCGGCGGGAACGCGCCCGCAGGGAACGCCGACGCGGGCGTGCCGGGGAACGCCCCGCCCTCGAACGCGCTGTCGTCGCTCGCGACCGACGCGCTGCGCAGCATGCGCGGGCGCTCGCCGTGCATCGACGACGTGCGCTCGTGCATGGGCGGCACGGACGGCGTGCGCTCGCGGCCGTGCATCGACGGCGTGCGGCTGTGCCGCGTGCCTGCGGTGGCGGCGGGGAGGCGCGTGTTGCGCCCGATCGCGTGCGCTTCGAACGTGCCCTGGGAGGAAGGGAAGGAGTTAGTACGTGTTTTCGAAGCACGGGGGGGCAAGAGAAGGAGGAAGGGGGCAGGGGAGGGGAAGGAGAACGGGGAGAACGAAGAGAACGAGAGGATATAAGTAGGAGTACAATGTAGTGCTCTTGATACGAGACATAAAAGTCTGCGTCGGCCGAGCCCGGGCACAAGGACAATACACACCGCCGGTGGAAAAGCACGCCGCTCAACACCCTCTACGAATCCCCGCAGCGACCGGGGAGGGCCTGCACGAGGTGCCCGAGGCAATAATGACAGCATGGACGGTCTCGCCGCGAAACGACCATGAATGCCCGCGCACGACGAGAGAGCGCCCCAAACGCCTCCGGGCGCCCAACTGGCGCAGTACACGGGGAAGGGCCGGGAAAGCCCCCACGCTCCAAGCCCACGACGACCGCATCCAGAATCCAGACGGCCTTCGCGGCCCAACCCGCGTACTAGGACGGCGGGCGTCCCGCGAAACGCACGTCTGCACGCCGAGGACCGACAACGCACGCCGCCTCGACCCCGCATCCGCTAGACGAGGGACCGAGCGCGTGAACGGTACATGTCCGGAAACAAGGACGGAAACGCTGCCCGGAGGGTCGAGGAGAAAGGTGGGATGCGCCAGCAGCGGACGCCGAGGGTGCGCAGGTCCCCTTCAGTCCCTTCAGACCCGTCTCCGCCCGTCAGAGACGACGGAGAAGACGCCCATGCAAAGCCAAGGCTCGCGGGCCGCCGAGGAGCCCCAGCGCGCCGCCAGGACACGCCTCTCGGATACGAACAGCGGACGGCCCCGCAAGAAGGGACGCGGTGCGGTTCGACGCGCCGCGCCACCGCCCGACTCCAGACTACGCGTCCCCGAAAACGGTGCGCGCGGCCCCGAAACGTGTGTTACAGGACGGACGGAGACCCCGCGTGCGTGCCCAGCGGCGAAGCGTCCGGGACACGGACGGGCCGGAAAAGAGTGGGCAGAAAAGAGCGTCGTCTCCAGCCCCCCTTGCCCCGGGGGCCGAACGAGATGCGCCGCGCATGCGCATGGCCCAGGGCAAGTCGGACGCCGTCTCGGTGCGCGCCGATGGACATCTACACGCCCAGCGCCGCGCCGCGCGCGCAAACGACGGCCGAGGACACCCCGCCGCGCGGAACCGCGCGGTCGCACCAGCGCCACCGTGTGCACGCAGGCCCCGAACCGTGCAGCCACACACACGGTGGGTGGGTGCATCCCCGCAAGAAAGGTATGCGGACCGACAAGCGCCGTTCCCGCGCCCGCCCATGTGGGTGCGACCGAACCGGCACGGGCACGTCTCTCCCCGGGATACGAGATACGAGCTGCGCACGACGCGGGGAAAACGCGGAAATAACCCCAGGACGGGCGCGGAAAAAGCACGCGGCGAGCGGACGGGCGCTACGCGGAAGCGCCGCTCGAGAGGCCGCGCGAGAGGACGCCGCACGTCCCCGGGGGAGGGTAACTGCGCGCGCGAGTGCGAGCGCCGGCGCTCGACGGAAAGCCCGCACACGAAAAGGGCTTCAGTGGGGAGATAGCGCGCCACCGGCCGGTAGGCGCTGGCACGCCGCCGCGGGTCGATGCGTATCCGCACGGGCGCCGCCACGCCTCGTTCGACGTGGGGTCCAAGCGCGCGCGCGAATGTCTAAGACAGAGCGGGTGGGCATCCCCCGTGCGGGGAAACGAAATCGGGACACAGGGCGCGGCAGGCGGTGGAGCGGGCGCGGAATTGAAAGCGGGAATGACAGCGAATGAAGGGAATTGGGAGAGGGTGAAGCGCGAAAGTGAAAGTGAAAGAGAACAAAGCGCGAAACCGCGCACCTTTGACGCGGAGATGCGGTAGACGTGCATCGAGCGGTCGGAGGACTGCGTGGCGATGTACTCGTTGAGCGGGTCCCACGCGACGCCCTGCACGTAGTGCGAGTGCTCCGCGATCTCGTGCATGCACTTGCCTGCCCCTTGTAAGCATACACCCTCCAATCGAGAAAGAGGGGGGAACGCACCATCCGCGGCGGCAAACACGCGCGCGGCGTTGTCCGTGCTGCCCGCGAGCAGGAACTCGCCCGTGGGGCTCCACGCGAGGTCGTACACCTGCATCGTCGTGCAGCGGAACGCGGTGCGCGGGCGCCAGTACTCCTTCTCGTGCTGCAGGTCCGCGGCACTGAGGTCGCTGCCGTACGTGCTCGTCTGCGGCGAGGCGCTCGGCGCCCAGACGATCACCATCCCGTCGTCGCCCGCGGACGCGATGAGCTCGCCTATTTGCGCGTCAGCCCGGTTTAACACGAAAGGAAAACACAGAGAAGGAAGGGGGGCGCACCGTTGGGGGAGAAGCGGACGACGTTGACGGCGGCGGAGTGGCGGCTGAGGGTGGCGAGGTACTCGACGCGCGCGGGGCGCGGGGCGGGCGGCGGCGGCGCGGCGGGGTCGCTGGGCTGCGGCGGCGGCGGGGCGATGTTGGGGTGGACCATCCAGACGCGGACGTGGTTGTCCTCGCCCGCGGTGGCGAGACGGTACGCCTGCGCGCCAAAATTCAAGTTTGCGGGGCGGGCCTTCTTGAAGGGCACCGGCTGGAAGTCGCACGACGAGATGGGCTTGCTGTCGTGCCACCGGATTTCTAGCGTGCGGTAGCGGAGGGACGGCATCGTTGGTGGTGGCGGTAGAGTACAAGCATTCGCTGCACTTTCACTTTCACTCTTCACACCATCACCCCGTCCCACGCTAGTCTCGTAAATCAAACTTTATAACGCCACAATTCATGTACTTATATCAAGTCCCACGCACCCTAATTCCATTCGCCTCTTCGATTCCCCCCTTCCAAACACCCCACCCTCTTTCTTTCTTTGGAAGCCACCTGCCCGTGTTCTCACAATCAAAACGTCTACTCAACGCCCCCAAAAACATAATAGGTAAAGCAGCGTGGTGTATTGCGCACACGGGGTTCATTTGCTGGGGAATTGTCACCCCGAGCCTCCCCGAGGTCCTTGTTCGAATCAAGGTGTTGCTCTTCCCATTCCGAGTGATCCACGATTTTTGTCTCAGCTCACTCCCAATTTTTTTAGCACCTAACCACCCGCAAAACAGGGTAGTTAAAGCAGTATGGTGTATTGCGCACACGGGGTATTCATAGTCGCTTATCGGTCGACCTTCACCCCGAGGTCCTTGTTCGAATCAAGGTGCTGCTCTGGTTCTCCTGCCCCACTATTTTTATTCTTCAGTGCACACAATTTTTTGGCACCCCACCGCCCGCAGAACAGGGTATTTAAAGCAGTGTGGTGTATTGCGCACACGGGGTTCATTTGTTGGGGAATTGTCACCCCGAGGCTCCCCGAGGTCCTTGTTCGAATCAAGGTGTTGCTCTTCCCATTGAGTGAGTGATCCACGGTTTTTGTCTCAGCCCACTCCCAATTTTTTTAGCATCTAACCACCCGCAAAACAGGGTAAGGAAAGCAGTATGGTGTATTGTGCACACGGGGTATCCATTAATAGCCCATTCAGGAAAATACTCACCCCGAGGTCCTTTGTTCGACTCAAGGTGCTGTTCTAGTCTCCTCTCGCGCCACTTTTTGATTCTTCGGCTCACTCCGAATTTTCTAGCACCCCACCCACTACGAAACAGGGTAAGTAAAGCAGTGTGGTGTATTGTGCACATGGCGTATTGCTTCGAGGAGCTGTGTAATGTACACCCCAAGGTCCTTGTTCGACTCAAGGTGGTGCTCTTTCCTCTGTTTCTCCAAGCATTTTGCCTCAGCTCACTCCAAATTTCTAGCATCCCACCACCCGTAAAACGAGGTAAATAAAGCAGTATGGTGTATTGTGCATGCGGGGCATCCATCAGCGGCATCATGATTAGTCACCCCGAGGTCCTTGTTCGAGTCAAGGTGCTGCTCTGTTGTGTTCCTTTGAGATTTTCCCTCAGCCCATCTCATTTTCTAGCACCCCACCAACCGCGAAACAGGGTAAATAAAGCAGTATGGTGTATTGTGCACACAGGGTTTGCTTTTCGCCGCCCTCTGCAATTCCCCCCGAGGTCCTTGTTCGACTCAAGGTGCTGCTCTCCGTTTCATGCCCAGACTTTTATTCTTCAGCACACATGGTTTTCTAGCACCCCACCACCCACAAAAGAGAGTAAAGCAGTGTGGTGTATTGTGCACACGGGATTTCGTTAAGTAGGTTTGACCAGAAAATTCATCCCAAGGCCCTTGTTCGAATCAAGGTGCTGCTCTGGAAATTCGAGACGATGTTTTTGCCTCAGCTCCCACAATTTTGTAGCACCCCACCACCCGTGAAACAGGCTCAAGAAAGCAGTATGGTGTATTGTGCACATGGGTTATCATTGGAAGCTTGAGGTATGGTATGTAACCACCCCGAAGTCCTTGTTCGAACCAAGGTGCTGCTCTTGTGCCCCGGCCATCTGGCTTTTTATTCCACATCTCCCAAGATTGCGTAGCACCCAACCCCCCCGCACCACAGGGTAAATAAAGCAGTGTGGTGTATTTCGCACATGGGATATCCATTCAGCTTCACTGAAAGCGAATGTATTGTCCCCGAGGTCCTTGTTCGAATCAGGGTGCTGCTCTTCCCAATGATCCACTGAATTTTTTGCCTCGGCTCATTCTCATTTTGTAGCACCCAACCGCCCATAAAACACGGTAAATAAAGCAGTGTGGTGTATTGTGCACATGGGGTCGATTTGACGGTTCCAAATAGTCACCCCGAAGGCCTTGTTCGAGTCAAGGTGCTGCTCTAATCTTCTGGCCCTACTTTTTTAAACTCTTCAGCACACACAATTTTGTAGCACACTACTGCCTTGAAAATAGAGCAGTGAAAGCAGTATGGTTTATTGCACACACAGAGTTTACTTTGTCGGCTCTCCTAGAATTCACCCCGAGGTCCTTGTTCGAGTCAAGGTACTGCTCTTCCCACTGTTTTCACTGTTTTTACCTCAGCTTACTCCAGATTTTCTAGCACACCACCGGCCGTAAAACAGGGCAGTAAAGCTGTATGCTGTATTGTGCACACGGGTATCATTGGAAGCTTGAGGTATGGAATGTAACCATCCCGAAGTCCTTGTTCGAATCAAGGTGCTTCATCTCTTTTTTAAACAACTTTTTTATTCCGCAGCTGGCACGATTGTGTAGCACTCCGCTGCCCGCAGAACAGGATAATTAAAGCAGTATAGTGTATTGTGCACACAGGGTATTCATAGTCGCTTGCCAGACGACCTTCACCCCGAGGTCCTTGTTCGAATCAAGGTGCTGTTCTAGTCTCCTCTCGTGCCACTTTTTGATTCTTCAGCTCACTCCGAATTTCCTAGCACTCCGCCCACTAGTAACAGGGTAAGTAAAGCAGTCTTCCTTCCGTTCCAAGCCTACTGAAGTGCGGGAGAATTTAGGCCGCTGAAGGAAAAATATGTCTGATGTCTCTACAACAGAGCAGCACCTTGGTTCGAACAAGGATCTCGGGGGCGAAGCAGCTGTTCTCCCGTGTACGCAATACACCATACTGCTTTCCTCACCCTGTTCCAGCCTCATGACAGGCGAGAGATTTATGTCAACCGAGAAAAAAAACCACTGCTTTCCGGAGCCAGAGCAGTACCTTGGTTCGAACAAGGACCTCGGGGCGACAGCGATCATTTATTCGACATATAAGCCCCATGTGCACGATACACCATACTGCTTTCTTAGCTCGTTCTGAGCTCAGTGAAGTTGTGAGAATTCTGAACAGAACAAAAAAAACAGTGTTCTCCAAACGCTAGAGCAGTACCTTGAATCGGACCTCGGGGTGGGCACTGGACTTTCATCTGATACGGAATCCCCGTGTACTCCATACACCATACTGCCTTATTTCCCTTGTTCGGAGCCTATTGGAGCATGTGAGAATTTGGTGAGTGGAGGGAGAAAAAAAAACTGTTCACAACCAGAACGACAACAGCAGTACCTTGAGTCGAACAAGGACCTCGGGAATGACTTGAGTGGAGTTACAACAATTGGCCCCCGTGTGCGCAATACACCATACTGCTTTAATTACCGTGTTTCTCACCTGATCGAAGGCTAGAGGATTTGTGCACAGCAGAGGCAAAATGGAAGAGGATCCGGTAGAGCACCTTGGGCATAGTGTCCGAGCAGGCTCAGAGAGTCCCATGCACACACAATACTGCTTTCATTACACAGGGGGCAAACCACCAGGCAGTGTGGTGTATTGCGCACACGGGTATCCATCTGGGATTCCGACGCTTACCAATTAGTCACCCCGAGCTCCTTGTTCGACTCAAGGTGCCACTCTGACTGGGAATTCTCTCCATCAGTTGTTTTTATTCCGCACCTACCACAGTGTGTAGCATGCCACTGCCTGCAAAATAGCGCAGTGAAACAGTATGGTATATCACGGTGCTGCTCGTCCCGTGTTGTATAGTACCATTTAGGCCTCACTTCACTCGGAATTTCTTAGCACCCCACCCACTACAAACAGGGTAAGTAAAGCAGTGTGGTGTACTGCGTACACGGGGTATCCATCTGGGATTCCGACGCTTACCAATTAGTCACCCCGAGGTCCTTGTTCAACTCAAGGTACTGCTCTGACTGGGAATTCTCTCCATCAGTTGTTTTATCCCGCACCTACCACAATTTGTAGCACACCACTGCCTGCAAAATGGAGCAGTGAAGCAGTATGGTGTATTGCGCACATGGGGTTCATGTATTTGATGACAATTATAATTCACCCTGAGGTCCTTGTTTGAATCACAGTGCTGCTCTTTCCGTGTTGTATAGTACCGTTTAGGCCTCAGTTCACTCGGAATTTTCTAGCACCCCACCGCCCGCAGAACAGGGTATTTGAAGCAGTGTGGTGTAATGTGCATATGGGGTATTCATCTGAAGATTGTACAATATACACCCCCAAGGTCCTTGTTCGACTCAAGGTGCTGCTCTTTGTAGAATTATTGAATCTCTTTGCCTCAGCTCACTCCGAATTTTATAGCACCCCACCCACTGCGAAACAGGGTATGGGAAGCAGCATGGTGTATTGTGCACACGGGGGTTCATTTTCTTTGAACCCAATTAGCCACCCCGAGGTCCTTGTTCGAACCAAGGTGCTGCTCTTCCTGTGGAGTCCTGCAAAGGTTTTTACCTCAGCTCATCTCATTTTATAGCATGCCACTTCCCGTGAAACTGGATAAGTAAAGCAGTGTGGTGTATTGTACACACGGGGTTCATTTGACAGTTCTCAATAGTCATCCCGAGGTCCTTGTTCGAATCAAGGTGCTGCTCTGTCCTCTGTTTCTCCAAAGCATTTTGCCCCAGCTCACTCCGAAATTTTATAGAACACCACCACCCACAAAAAGAGGTAAATACAGCAGTATGGTGTATTGTGCACGCGGGGTATCCATCAACGACATCCTGATTAGTCACCCCGAAGTCCTTGTTCGAATCCCAAGTGCTGCTCTTCGTAATCTGCAACCAGTGTTTTTGCCTCCGAGACAGCCCACTCCGAATTTTGCTAGCACCCCACCGCCCGTGAAACAGGGCAGTAAAGCAGTATGGTGTATTGTGCACATGGGGCTCATTTGGCTGTTTTTCAAGTACGTAATCACCCCGAGGGCCTTGTTCAACTTAAGGTGCTGTTCTAGATCTGGGAACTCCGGATGGTTTTTCCCTCAGCTCATTCTCATTCTTTAGAGCACCCTGCCAACCACGAAATAGAGTATTTAAAGCAATATGGTGTATTGCGCACACGGGGTATCCATCTTTCCTTAACTCGTTCCGATCTCAGTGAAGTTGTGAGAATTCTGAACAGAAACAAAAAAAAACAGTGTTCTCCAAATGCTAGAGCAGTACCTTGAATCGGACCTTGGGGTGTGCACTGCACATTTTATCTGATACGGAATCCCCGTGTACTCCATACACCATACTGCCTTATTTCCCTCGTTCGGAGCCTATTGGAGCATGTGAGAATTTTGTGAGTGGAGGGAGAAAAAAAAACTGTTCACAACCAGAACAACAACAGCAGTACCTTGAGTCGAACAAGGACCTCGGGAATGAATTGAATGGAGTTACAATAATTGACCCCCGTGTGCGCAATACACTATACTGCTTTAATTACCGTGTTTCTCACCTGGTCGAAGGCTAGAGGACTGGTGCACCGCAGAGGCAAAATGGAAGAGGATCCGGTAGCGCACCTTGGGCATAGTGTCCGAGCAGGCTCAGAGAGTCCCATGCACACACAATACTGCTTTCATTACACAGGGGGCAAACCACCAGGCAGTGTGGTGTATTGCGCACACGGGGTATCCATCTGGAATTCCGACACTTACCAATTAGTCACCCCGAGCTCCTTGTTCGACTCAAGGTGCTGCTCTATCTGGGAATTCTCTCCATCAGTTTTTTCTATTCCGCACCTACCATAGTGTGTAGCACGCCACTGCCTGCAAAATAGCACAGTGAAACAGTATGGTATATCACGGTGCTCCTCGTCCCGTGTTGTATAGTACCATTTAGGCCTCAGTTCACTCGGAATTTTCTAGCACCCCACCGCCCGCAGAACAGGGTATTTGAAGCAGTGTGGTGTATTGTGCACATGGGGTATTCATTCGAGGAGCTGTGTAATGTACACCCCAAGGTCCTTGTTCAACTCAAGGTGGTGCTCTTTCCTCTGTTTCTCCAAGCATTTTGCCCCAGCTCACTCCGAATTTCTAGCATCCCGCCACCCGTAAAACGAGGTAAATGCAGCAGTATGGTGTATTGTGCATGCGGGGCATCCATCAGCGGCATCATGATTAGTCACCCCGAGGTCCTTGTTCGAGTCAAGGTGCTGCTCTGCCGTGTTCTGCTGACATTTTTCCCTCAGCCCATCTCATTTTCTAGCACCCCACCAACCACGACACAGGGTAAATAAAGCAGTATGGTGCATTGTGCATACGGGGTTTGCTTTTCGCCGCCCTCTGCAATCCGCCCCGAGGTCCTCGTTCGACTCAATGTGCTGCTCTTCGTTTAATGCCCAGATTTTTATTCTTCGGCTCACATCGTTTTCTAGCATCCCAACACCCACAAAAGAGAGGAAGTAAAGCAGTGTGGTGTATTGTGCACACGGGATTTCGTTAAGTAGGTTTGACCAGAAAATTCACCCCAAGGCCCTTGTTCGAATCAAGGTGCTGTTCTGAAAATTCCAGACAATGTTTTTGCCTCAGCTCCCACAATTTTGTAGCACCTCACCACCCGCGAAACAGGCTAAAGAAAGCAGTATGGTGTATTGTGCATGCGGGGTTCCATTGGAGAGGTCCTTGTTCGAACCAAGGTGCAGCTCTAAGTGGTTAACATCATTTTTATTCCGCACCTCCAACAGTTTTGTAATACACCATCACCACCCGCAAAACACGATACGCAAAGGAGTGTGATGTATTGTGCACATGGGGTATTCATTGTGAGCTTGGACAGATCATTCACCCCGAGATCCTTGTTCCAACCAAGGTACTGCTCTTGTGCCCCGGCCATCTGGCTTTTTATTCCGCATCTCCCAAATTTTTATAACACCCCACCCCCCGGACCACAGAGTAAATAAAACAGTGTGGTGTATTTCGCACATGGGGTATCCATTCAGCTTCACTGAAAGCGAATGTATTGTTCCCGAGGTCCTTGTTCCAATCCGGGTGCTGCTCTTCCCAACGATCCACCGAATTTTTTTGCCTCAGCTCATTCTCATTTTGGAGCACCTAACCACCCATAAAACACGGTAAATAAAACAGTGTGGTGTATTTTCATGCAGGGTTTCACTGAATCCGAAGCCTTCACCCCGAGGTCCTTGTTCGACTCAAGGTGCTGCTCTTTGTAGAGTTGTTGAATCTCTTTGCCTCAGCTCCGAATTTTATAGTACCCTCCTGCCGCAAAATAGGGCAATTAAAGCAGCATGGTGTATTGTGCACACGGGGCTTTATTTAGCACAGAGAACAAAATTACACCCCAAGGTCCTTGTTTGAGTCAAGGTGCTGCTCTTCCCACTGTTTCCACTGTTTTTACCTCAGCTTACTCCAGATTTTCTAGCACACCACCACCCACGAAACTAGATAAGTAAGGCAACATGGTGTACTATTGCGCACATGGGGTATTCATTTGGGGTGTTGTAGAATGTGTTCGTCCCGAGGTCCTTGTTCGAATCAAGGTGCTGCTATTATCAGCTATGTGTGCCGATGCTTTTGCCTCAGCTCACTCTGAATTTTCTAGCACCCCACCCATTGTGAAATAGGGTAAGTAAATCAGTGTGGTGTATTGCGCACACGGGGTATCCATCTGGGATTCCGGCGCTTACCAATTCGTCACCCCGAAGTCCTTGTTCGACTCAAGGTGCTACTCTGACTCGGAATTCACCATCAGTTGTTTTTATTCTGCACCTACCACAATATGTAGCACACCACTGCCTGAAAAATAGTGAAGCAGTATGGTGTATTGTGCATGCGGGGTTCATGTGTTTGATGACAATTATAATTCACCCTGAGGTCCTTGTTTGAATCACGGTGCTGCTCTTCCCGTGTTGTATAGTACCGTTTTGGCCTCAGTTCACTCGGAATTTTCTAGCACCCTACCGCCCGTAAAACAGGGCAATAAAGCAGTGTTGTTTTAAATCAAAATAATGATATTGTTTCATTTATTAAAAATAATGGTGTATTGTGCACATGGGGTATTCATTCGAGAAGCTGTGTAATGTACACCCCAAGGTCCTTGTTCAACTCAAGGTGCTGCTCTTTGTAGAGTTGTTGAATCTCTTTGCCTCAGCTCACTCCGAATTTTATAGTACCCTACCTGCCGCAAAACAGGGTATTTAAAGCAGTGTGGTGTATTGTGCACACGGGGTATTCATTCTGCACGTTGTATGACGTGTTCACCCCGAGGTCCTTGTTCAAATCAAGGTGCTGCTCTGATTTATTCCACAGTTGGCAGGATGTTCTAGCACACCACAAACCATGAAACAGGGTAATTAAAGCAGCATGGTGTATTGTGCACATGGGGTATTCATTCACGGGACTGTACGGTAACATGGTCACCCCGAGGTCCTTGTTCGAGCCAAGGTACTCAACCGTACTGGGATCTACCAAATTTTTTGTGTCAGTGAGTCGGTCCACATTGAAATTCACCCCAAGGTCCTTGTTCGACTCAAGGTACTGCTCTTTTGTTTCTTTCGGCATTTTGGCCCAGCTCACTCCGAATTTTGTAACACCCCACCAACCGCGAAATACAGTAAGTAAAGCAGTATGGTGTATTGTGCATGCGGGGTTCCGTGGGGATGCGGAACAGTGTTTGTTCGCCCGAAAGTCCTTGTTCGAATCAGGGTCCTGCTCTTCCCAGTGATCCACGGTTTTGCCTAAACTCACTCTCCGAAATTTATAGCACCCCACCACCTGCGAAACAAGGTAGGCAAAGCAGGATAGTGTATTGCGCATGTGGGGTTCCGTTGGGATTCGGAAGGGTGTTTATTCACCCCGAGGTCCTTGTTCGGCTCAAGGTGCTCTGCGCGGTTGACATACATCCCCTTTTTCTCTCCCTCTCGCCGATTATTTCGGGCGGGGCAACTGGAGTGCCGACCATCTTCACGGGCAGTCACTTCCGTGACTTGCGATGAGCCATGTTTTAGACAGCCATGCGTGACTAAGAATAATAGTATACAATTTTTCAATTTTGCATCCGATCGGAGGAGGAGAATATATGAAAATCACACACAATTTCCTGCTTCGCAAAGGCTACGTAGAAACAATAGACAAAGTGTAAACTTCGGTATCGTCACTACCCGTGTTAACGGCGTAGACTATGGTTCCACTCGGCACATTGTCACTCGAAAAGTTTGTGTCGCCATTGGAAGCCAAAAGGAGAAGATTTCCAGATATTACCTGGAGTGAACCGTCAGTTGCACAGACGCGAACACAAAAGTCCAGTATTACCGCAGAGAATGTCGTCGAAGTGACGACGCTACCACAAGCAAAGACGCCGCTGCTGACCCCACAGCTTCCCTTCGACGATTTTAGCGTGAAGTTGTCAGTAGCTCCGGTCAGGGTATATGTGGCAAGAGTTTGAGTGGACCAGGTGCCTAGAGAAAGCAATCCACCAATTTGGGCTCCATCTTGCACCGCATGGATGATTGCTTTGGTAGGGATCACGGTTGGTGGGCCGGTGGCGGTTGTCGTTGTACTCTGTGCAAGAAATTAGCCCACTACACTAATTCCAATACGAATAACACTGACGGTCTGGGTTCCCGTGGTGGTCGTAGCCATTGTTGTCGTGGTTGGGCCCTTCGTCAAGTAATTGATGCCGGTGGAGGGGCAAGACCCAGCCTTGGGCGCATCTGACAACACAGGTTCAATCTCGAGCAATCATTGCGAGACACGATTAACCAACCCATCGCTACAAATATCCCGTCGATAACGCTGCCTATTATTCGTTACTGCAGTCGCACACCGACGAATGCAAACGGGCACACCTTGGAGATGATAATAGTAAGAAATCTGGTTTACAGCACCACTGGTACAATCAAGAGCAGGAATAAACTAACAGCCGTCAGCGAATGAACACAAAAAGAGCGGGCGGGCACATACACCGAATCCCGCTTTGATGGCAGCGGTAAGATCGGCGAGCGTATGAGTGGTGCTGGGTGACGGCGTGATACCTGCAGCGGCGAGCCATTGGTATGTGGGAAGCGCCTATAAAACGATCAGGCAAGTCGGTATATGGATGGATTAAGCGAGAACTTTCCTTGAATAACCTAACGACGGTGTTCAAGTAGATGACGGCCTTGGAGCATCGATCAGCTGCAGAATGCAATTGACAAGCAGTAACTTACTTCTGCCCCTGTAGGGCTTCCGATAGGGAGACATTCGACGTTGAGGGTGCTCAAAAGCAAAGCCTGAGATAATGTGAAGACGGAATATAAAGGTCTCTATACCTCATACAGGTTCCTGGGACGCGTTGGTAAATCGAAACTTCAATAAACGCTGAAATTGAGAGGCTCACCATGCTGAAAACAAGAGAAACATCACATTAGTCTTTGGGTGTGGTTCCACCTGTGTATTCATTGACCTTAGACCACTCTGGAAACAAGAGAAACACCACGTTAGTCTTTGGATGTGGTTCCAACTGTGTGTTCACTGACCGTGCTCCCAGAACGACTCATCGTTACCGTTATTGTCTTTCCAGAACTGAGGAACTGTGGGTGCTCTTTCATTCACGTGAATCGCAGCACGTACCGTGTTCATGAAATCCAGTGTATCGTCCGATCCTTGAGCAGTCAACAGCTGGATGCAACACTTCAATGGACCCCTGGAAAATAATAATTGGGCACTTACGCCGCCAAGATCGGTATACGCCCTTGAGGCATCACAGGTCGAGTCGAACGTTCCATCACAACTGAATGCATTGTGAGGTTTTTTGGGGGACGGGATAGCCGTTCGACATACTGGTCGGGCCATAGACCTAAAATCAATGACTGGTGTCAGCGCTGATAGAGAAAGGAATGGGATGGCGCACCATGAATGGTCCAACTATCGTCAGGTCCAGTCGCTGGATCTGGTCAACATGCGTAGACTTCGCGGGGAAGATAATCACAAGGACTAGGGGGATCAAGTCAATATGGTGCGTAGATTTCGCGAGAACGATGGTTACTTGGTATCCCAGAACTTTGCACCGAATCGAAATGAATTTTTGGCGGCCATCGCTTTGTTCAATGCTTACCTGAGTCTGCAGCAGTTGTCCCTGCGAATTATGTAATTTTCCGGCAAGACAGTTGAATCGGCTTCGAGACGCACTCCGGGCGCTTGGAAACAGCATAGGTCAGAGACCGCCGAGGTATTGGTGCACGACGCAGGCTCGGTGGAGGAACATCCGGAGCTGATGTTAGCCCTTTTGAACAATGCCTGAGAATTCCGGGGCGAGTAGAATGAGGCCAAGGAAGACCCAATGAGGGCAGCAAGGAAAGTTGCAGCGAGCATTCCGTGAACGTTGACCGCGAAGGTCCTGCAGCAGACGCAGCTTTAAGACACGGATGGGCGGTGCCAGGGGGAATACTGTACTATTTCGTTCAATTCTCGCCGCCTGTGACCTGTGACCCAGACATTCGAACTTCAGATTTCGTACCTGGTCTGGGATCGCTGTGACACTTTTTTTTTTTCGTAAAGTCCCCCGAAATGAGTGCATAATGCTCTCAGGCATTCCAAACAACATCCCAGCACTGGTTGAGCATTTTGCGAAGGGAATTAATGGTGAAACGGCGCGTCAAGAGAAACCTTCCTAAAGGGGTAAGATCAAATTGGTAATTACACCTTTTTTTTCTGCATCCCGCCCGCCTCGCAGCAAATGAGTGGTCTTCCCGACGTTTTCAAGATTCCAGACGGGCCGGAAAAGCTCTTCATTCCGCACACCTCCCTGTCTGTGTCCCGCCTTATTAAATTTCAGCTGCCGCCGCAGCGCAAATCTACCGTTTTCACAGACCCCACCGAATACGTCTCCAAGCTCCATCCGACCGTTGTCACTTTCAATGTCGCGGAGATTCCGGTGCCTCCCTCCATCATCATCAAGGCTCTTGGCCGGGAAATCCTGACCGACCCGGAGGCCAAGTCCATCATGCTTGTCCATTCGCCGGCGCACCGTGAAAAAGTGTATCGTCGCAGCAGTGTAATACTCAGTTCACGGCATGAGAAGAGGACTGGCATAGGGTCTGCTGACAATTCCACTTTGAAGAAAATAATTGATTGTCAGCCTGACTGTCAGACTGACTGTCAGAACTGACAGATAACAATTGACAATTACCTATTTGGGAATTGTGGAGGTATAGCTATCTGATGACCTACCGGTGCAAGTTGGCTGCTCCTGCAACACTGCTAACCACCGGGACCAACCTCTCCCGCTCTCTTGAGTCCCCACATGAACCCCGGAGCATTATCTGTGACCCCCTCGGTCTCTTTGGGAATTCCCGGCGGTAGATACCCCATGAGGCGTTTTGCAGAATAGACAGCTGTTCAACACTTCGTACAATATTTTGTATGCACCTTTCAAATCGGCTTTATAGGCACAGTTCACCATACTGTAGCTCCGAAGAACTCAGTGAAATCGAACACGGAGAATGCCGGTCGCTTTGATGGCAGTCCGCAACAACTGGAAATATGGCTTCTGGTAGAACAGTGCCATACACAGTCCAGGGAGAGGCCCTGTACGAGTTTGTGGACGCCAAAGCCCTCAGGAATGTGTGAAACGACCCTAGTAGCAGATTGTAATTGTCAGGATTGTCAGGCGGAATTTTTCCGAAAAATTAAATAACCCTTTGTCAGTCAGTGACTGACAATTATCTGTCAGTCAGCTGACAATTAAATTGTCATGTCAGCGGACCCTAGGTAACTGGCAAAGCAAAGCGGTGACGATGCGGCGACGCCGATTTACTTCCGCTCACATCAAAAGATGGCATTTCGTGTGAACGCCGCGGCGCTGATCACCACACGCGCCGCCCAGCCGAAAATTTGATTTTTTTGGGCCATTTTCCTCCAATTTTGTGACATGTATTGAAGATTCGAACCTGCTCCAAAACGCCTGTGACACCCCAAAAAAATTCGTATAAAAAGTGCCCTGTGACCTGTGACATACGAATTGAATGAAATAGTACAGTAGGTCCGCTATCAGCACCGCACCAGCGTGGACGAGTTGATAGAGAGGTGGAATGTCAAAGCATCACATGGTAGATCTGGCTTGGCAAAGATGCACGTTGGTCGTTCCCGCCGCTATACTGTTACTATACGTATACGGTCCATTCGCGGTTCGGCGGTGGAGGCTGGTAATATGGCTGCGGATGTTAGAAACCGAAATTCATGCAAAATGCCGAGGCGGGGATTAATGAAGGTTGGACGAACGATCAAAATCCGTGTATTAAATGGCTGAGACGGGT